GGTGATGTTAATGGCCAGTCTGCGCGCCGTTGGTTTGCGGCGGCGTGGGAGTGAAGGATGGAGGGGGAGGCCAGCCCGAGCCAGGCTGCCGCGATGAGCTGCCCCTCGAGGTTTGGGCTGGGTCGGTCGGGTCGTGCCCGGGCGGTCTCGAGTAGGTACCTGGGAAGGACCTCCAAGGGTTGGAACTTGGGACAGACCCGCTCCTGGTGTCGCACGTATATTCGTGGGTTGCTGGGAGATGCTGACTTGCTGCACCGAGTCGGCCAGCCAGAGGCAAAGCAGGTCTCGGGGGGGACGCTGCAAGATATGGTCGGCTTGCGCGGTGGTGTTAGTGGTCGGCTCCCCCAACCAAGTCCAGGTCCAGGTCGCCAAGGCCAATGCTCCTGCGTTGGATCAGGGCATATGCTGAGAGGTATATACGGCGCCGTGTTGCACGCAGTCGCTCCTCGCTCCGAGCAGTTCACGGAGGGGACGGAGAGGCGGGCGGAAAAGAGTCGTTGGGGAGGCGAAGATGCAGAGAACCAGGCGTGACGGGAATTTCGAGCTTGTCGCATGCCGCCAGGCAGGGCAACCCCAGCAAGGCTCAAATTAGACGATCGTCTCCAACCCCTGCAAGCCCTGGACGCTGGGACGGCTGAAACAGCCAGTGGTTAAAAAAGTAGCCAAGACTCCAAGAGGCCAAGAGCAGGTTTAATTGACAGGGGGGGATTCTCTTGTCTCGCTGACAAACTCCAGCAGAGCCAACAGCTTATCTAGCTCGCCGGTGATGCGGAGGAGCAGTGGACGCCGGGGGTTCGTTGGCGGGCTCTCTTTTTTTTTTTTTTTTTTTTTTTGCTGAAATCACCGACGCATTTCCCCCATCCCGACGAGGCTTGCAAGCCATTGTCTTCGCATCCAATCTGCTCACCCTCACCCAGCTGAGACTGTCGGTGAGCAGTGGCCGTTTATCGCGGCTGCTCGGGACCGGTGGGTTGAACAGCGTCCTGCTCTGCCATGGGGGTTCATGCCGTGCCTCGCTGCGAAGGCAAAAGTAAAAAGAAGGCAGCCCGCGGAGACTTCTATGCGTATTCGTACGGGCTGTGGGGGGCGTGGTGGGCGTCGGTGTCGTCGCCGTCCGCCATCCGCCATCCGCCATCCAGTCGACAGGCCGAGAGACTCACAGAGTCGCAGAGCGATCAGCAGCTGCAACAACCGGGTTGCGGGCTTGAGGGAAGAAACTTGATCGAGATGTGAGCACTGGAGGAAGCGCATTCCGTATTCTTCAACAGAGGCCCTCGAGAGGCGCCAGCGCAGACCAGCATGACGTCGGCGTCGGCGGGCGTCGAAGCCTCAGAGGACGACGCACTGATGCTGCGCCAAACCCCTGCTGGGCGCTGCTTGTCAGAGACTCGGCTCCCGCACGTCAAAGACGCCATCGGAGCTTCGGCCACCGTGGCATCGCATGACGATCACCCCAGGGGACATCGGCAGGGCAGAAGGCATCGCATCGCGGCGGGAGCAGCATGGCTTCAGATGTTCGCAACCGGGGCCCGGTCGCACATCAAATCGTCCTGATGCGACGCGATCACCCCTTTCTTCCATCCTCGCAGGGTTCAGACACCGAATGCGATGGCAGAACCAGGAGAACAGCGTCGTCGTCGGAGCCAAAACCTGGCGCGGTGGCAGCGACGAGCATGAACGATTGGAGATCCCCAGCACCTTTCTGGTTGCAAACAAACACCGTCCATTACGGATGAACACCCGCACTCTTGCTCGAGCGTGTCGACCGGAAGACTGACTTGGGTGCCTTCGTTCCCAGGATGAGACAGACAGACTCGTTCGTCAAGGACCGACAGAGAGACGCCTTGTTCTGCACGTGCGGATAGGCGCAGGACAGCGGAGGACGGCATCTCCCCGAGCTCCCTCTTCCCATTCGAGAGATGCCGACAGCCAGTTTCCGATCGTATCAACAATTTATTGTACGCATATTGAGGTGAGACGGCCACGAACCTCCTGCGCTGACTGACGCCGCTCCGCTCTGCGCGCCCGTCAGAGCGCGTTTCCTGTGGGACTGCCTCGAGCTGCGGCACCCCGGCTGGATCGTCCATTTCACCACGGGTACGAAGCAGGGCAAAGGAAATAAATGTCAGGACTCAGCACTGTGTGGCTTCTCCATCAATTCCGACACGGTTTCACGGCGGCGCTGCAGGTGAACATTCGTCAACGGCCGTGGTTGGCCATGCAAACATGAAGAAATGAGGAGGGGCTTCGAGGCGAAGACGGCCATGACACCGCAGTTTGCAGGAACCGCGGGATGGTGGCTTTATTCCAAAGATTGATCCCCACCAACACCCACACCACCCACACGGCGCGCCCAGTTGGGTCAGTTCGCTCCCCACCCCCATCCACCTCTTCCCGAGCGAGCCGGGAACCCAAATGCGACGCCATCGCTAGGTACCTGCATCGACCCGCTCTCCGTGCACATCCGAATTTGCGTGGGCGGATGAATTTGCCCATGAGGAAGCTCAGCAGAAGCAATATCGAAGGGCGCGTGCTCTGGCCCAGTCGATGTGCCGGCATGACGGGCCAGCGCGGGACGAAAAGAGGGCGTATGCCGGGACCAGAACCAGTCGGGAACGGAGCTCGGTGAATTCCGCCGAGCTTTGTTTTATGTATGTGGCTCGTTATTGTTTCCACATCTCGCCTAAGAAGATGAGGGCTCCGTGGTTCGAAGCCTCTACACAGTAGTAGCGTGGCTGACCAAGGCATGTCCTCGTTGCCCAGGCTCGCTGTTTTGATAAGGGGTCGGATTCTGGGGGTCAGCCCCTGAGTCCATGTCAACACGACAAACTCGTCACAGCTCCCCATGGAGGCACGGCAAATGGCTACATCGACCAAACATTACAGGAAACAGAGATGACATGAGAAGACAGAGCAAACAGGCTCAGTCATACACAGTGCTGAACTCCAGCCCAGAGCAGAACAATAGGGCCCTTCTAGGAACCCCCAGGTTGAGATGGAAAAGTGCGCCGAGACGCCCGTTTGCAAGCTTCAGTCAACAGTTTCGCTGCTATTGCAAAGAGTTTGACCGAGAGATGAAATCTGCGCAGGGAGCTCCTGCTGCCGCAGCGTTCAGCGCGCGCAAAGCTGGGACAACTGTAGGCAAGAGCTGCGTCGCCGAGGTTGAGACTGCAGGTGCGCAAGCCGAACACCAAGCCCAAACGTGGGGACCTACTTTTGATCTCAGGAGATTGACTTCCAGCCCAACTCTTATACAGCCAGCTTCAACATCGTGTGCCGGGCAGTGGGCGCCAACCACGGTTGCATTTCTCTCCTTTTCATTTCCCTGCGAAGCACAAGCCCACAATGAAGCTCACTCTCCTCGCCAGCGCGGTCGGTCTAGGGGCGGCCTGGCGCGCTCTGGGAATGGGATGCGCCGACCCTGGATTGCTTCGGGAGCAGCAGGGGAAGGTCGGTCCCATCCCCAACTCGCATGCTGAGAGATCGGACGATGGCGCCCTGAACTACACCGAGACATCAAAGTCGGCCATTGATACCCTGAACACACTCTACAACAGCTCCGAAGGCCGCTGGTCGCCCGAGGTCGCATGGTGGATATCCGGAGTCGCTCTTCAGGGCATCCTCGACTACACGTCCAAGACAAAATCTTACGATTACCTCGAACAGGCGAACGACATAATCGAGAAGCAGAAGGAGCCTCTTCCGTGGTGGCCCGAAGGCGAGGGCCTCTTCCGCGCCGACTCGACTGATGACACAGCCTGGTGGGCGCTGGTCCTGGTACGCATGTTCGATATATCAGGCGACAGTTGGGCTCTCGACACGGCCAAGGCCGACGAGGAATACATGTACCAGTACTGGACCGACGAAAACTGCGGCGGTGGCCTTGTGCAGAGCATTCGCACCAAGACGTACAAGAACGCCATCTCTAACCAGCTGTACGCCCTCCTCACGGCCTCGCTCCACAACAGGATTCCCGGCGACACGGAATACCTCGAGAGGTCCAAGGCGGCATGGGAGTGGCTCTTTGCCTCGGGGATGCTCAACGAGGACCACCTCTTCAATGACGGGCTGACCAAGGATGAGGACGGCGTCTGCATCAACAACAATGGCATCGTGTGGACGTATAACCAAGGCGTTATTCTCGGCGCCGCCACCGGTACAGCCTCCACCCCCTCAGCTTCATTGCCCATGCTAACTACCAAACAGAGCTCTACAAAGCCACCTCGAACACCACCTACCTCGACCTCGCCCGCCGCACAGCCGATGCCGTCATTGCCACCTCGTCTCTCGTGCGCGACGGTGTCCTCGTCGAATTATGCGAGGAGGCCCAGAGCTGCAACCACGACCAGCAAACCTTCAAGGGTATCTTTGCGCGCTACCTGGCGCAGCTGAGCAGCGTTCTCGACGACGACCCGTACCGCCAGTTTCTCGAGGCCAACGCCAAGATGGCGGTAGAAAAGGCCCGCAACACGACGACGGGGTTCTTTGACGTCTCGTGGACGGGGCCTTTTACGGACGGGACGCTGGGAACCCAGGCGAGTGCACTTGGGCTGTTGGTCGCGCTCATCTAGGGTCGCGCAGGGAAGGAGGTGAGGCAAATTCTGATGTCTGATCAGATCTGCTTCAAGCTGAGTGGTAGATTTTCCCAAGAATTTCCCGAGAGAGACCGGGATGGGTTGGCACATTAGACGAACTGGGTGCAAGCTCTGGTAGATAAACTAAGCGCAAGCTCTGGCAGACGAACTGAGTGCAAGTTCTGGTAGATAGACCGAGGGCGGACTCTAGTAGATGAGAATAGAGGATGGTATATGCAGCGGGCATGAAACTGACCATGTCTCCTGTGCCAGTGAAGCAGCCTCCCGCCCCTGGCAACCAAACAAAAGAAAGTAATATGCCTTACAGAACAACGATTCCACAGACATCACCACACATCGCGCCAAAAAAAGAACATGATCACTGCCCACCAAAAACAAATCGGTCCCAGATGTCATTTCCATCTCCCCCCCCGCTCAGGATTGAACAGAGAACCTCCGGATTAACAGTCTGACGCGTTAGCCAGTTGCGCAATGGGGGATGTGTATGCTCGTTGACGGTTTCTGCGGCAAATAACGCACAGTATGAGGCAAGTCCATCTTCCAACCCCATCATGGACAATAATGTGGACTGGTAGTGGATGTGGTGGGCACGGCGACCGGGTGGGTTGCGCTCGCGGTTTGGTGTATATTTCCATCAATGGATTAGGAAGTCAGAGGTCTACTAGCTCGAGGCCGCGCACTGTAAGATGATGATGTCTGGGCAACACACGGGGGACAATCGTCGAGGCGGTCTCTTGTACGCCCGGGACCCATGCCGCCCTCTGCCGATCATCTCGTTCACGATAGACGACGACGCCGGACGAGTCGTTACACACGGCCACGTCATGTTGGTTTGGATGCAACATCACGGCGGCTGGCTACCCTCTTCTCCTTCATGCAGGTACCGGTCTTCCCGCCAGGCCTCTCCCTCTTCTTGTCATTCGTGAGTTTCGTATTTTCTGTCTAACTCGCCGACTGGCGCGCGGCCATGAAAACGAAACAACGAAATGTAAACCTTGCAACGGGGGTGGGTGCGAGGGCAAGTGGGCGGAGGATATCAAAATAGGGAAAGCCAGGGGGTAAAGTACTCATGAGCCTCAAAATGAACGACGCAAAACACCCAACGAGACCCTCCCTCTGCTTTACTGTCCAGAATCTCTCAAGTCCTTGCGCCTCGCCTGCCACTAGGAGAAAGCAGAAGGTGTTGGTGCTTCTGCAGATTGCTTCAAATCTCCTGCACTAGTTGTTGTTCTCTTCCCAATTCCGTCGCCATCCCTCTTCTCCGCTGACCATGTCGCTAAAAAAAAAAAGTTAACCCATTCAATGGCGCCTGTTCCCAGACATCATTCTCCTTCAAAGGTCCCGGGCAGCGGCTGCTGAGACACCCGTACCCACAATCTGATCAACTTCTCGCTACCCTGACATGTCCTACAAACTGAAGGGCCTCCTAGGATAGCTCACACCCTCGACGGCGGCGTTATCGACAAACCAGCTGCAGCGCTCTCCCGTCCCCTCGTTGACCAGAGCGCATGGCAAGCCCTTGTCGCTCTCGAAAATCTCCCTCATGATCTCCTTCTTGCCGGCGCCCGTGGCGACAAAGGCAACGCGGACGGCGTGGTTCACGACGGGCAGCGTGAGGGTGATGCGTCGCGGTGGGGGCTTGGGCGAATCCTCGATGGGGGCAACCCAGGCGCTCGTCTCGCGCAGCAGCGCGTGGCCGGGGAACAGCGAGCACGTGTGGCCGTCGGGCCCGCAGCCGAGCAGAAGCAGGTCGAAAATGGGCAGCTTGACCGAGTCGCGGCTGGCAAAGGAGCGGACGAGCACCTGCTCGTACTGGTCGGCCAGCTCCTGCGTGTCGTTGAGCTGCTCCACGTCTATGGGGTGCACCAGGGGTTTCGGGGTGCCGGAGGGCAGCTTGTCGAGCAGCTCGGCCTTGAGAAGCGCGTAGTTGGAATCGGCGTGGTCAAGCGGCACGGCGCGCTCGTCGGCAAAGAATATCTCCCACTTGGCCCACTTGACAGTGTCGTTATCGCCGGCCGCAGGTGCCAGGAGGGCCTGTGCCAGAGTCTTGGGAAGGGAGCCACCCGAGACGCCCACCTTGAAGACACCGTGGCGCTGGATGCCGGTCTCTTGGCACGCGACGACGTAGGCGCGGAGGGCGGGTGCGAGTGTGTCGACGCCAGAGAAGGCGTAGAGGTTGGCTTGGTGAGCCATGGCGGCAGCGACAGCGGTGGGTGCGAGGGTTCGCGGCGTGAAGGCTACGTTTGGTGGTGGTGGGAGTATGTGTTATGTCCAGGCACCTCAAGATTCCCTTCGTGTGTGGGGCGGGGGGGGAATCAATATGGTGGGGTCGGGGGTCGAGGTGATGACTGTTGAAGATGCTAAAGCGGCGCTTTGGGCGGCACAAAAATCAGCGCTTGTCGGAGTGGGCGGAGATGTGAATCGACACCCTAGAGGATTAGAACGGGTATAGAGTGCCCCCAAGAAGTGATGACGCCCGAAGTTGCTGCTCGAAGAATGTGTTCGGGTCTGCCCTGTCCGATAAGGATTTCTAGCTCCCAAGATGGATGGGGGGCTGTCGTCTCAGGCTAGCGGGAACGGGGAGGCAGTTGACTCGCTAAGAGAGCTGGAAGGCGAAGAATGATGTGCCGAGTTCGGTAGAAGCTGACGATCTCCACGTTCTCAATGGTTGTCGAGTTCCAAGCGGGATTTTGTGGCTGGCACGGCTGGATTGCTTTAGATCGAGGGGCACGCACACGGGCATTAGGCAGCGGGGAAGAAAGCTTGGGGCGGGCCGTGGAGGGGTAGGTAGAAAAGTCGATGGAAGGGTCGAAGTGGGGTTCTGCGGTTCTCTCACCGATGGCTCGTGGGCAGTTGATATAGGTATCAGAAAATGGATGAATCGATTGGGTAGGTGAGAGCATGCTCCGTAGCTCGGTATGATCAAGACCCGGAGGCTCAACAGCGAGACCCAGCCACGCAGCCTTTTACATGTTTGATTCAAGAGCTAGGCTCGACATTCCGCAGTCCAGACTGCACCCTACTTTCCACCATCGACTTCCGATCACATCGCCTTATTTCTTTGTGGGATCAAGCCAGGTGTCCCGATACTCAACAATAAAGACAATTTCATAACAGCAACAGAAAATCCAGATGTCACTGGAGAGTCCAGACCTTGAGATTGGTGATTTGAGGCCCTCTCCCGGTTCTGTAGTGCAGCTTGAGGCGAGATTTTCAAGACATGCATCCGCGTCTAAGTATAGGTGGCCTGGGGGTGCTTGCATGAGGGAGTTTCCCGTGCTTGTTCTGCGAGCAGGGCTGGACTGAACACGAATTTAAGAGCCTTGCTCTACATAGTATAACCTCGTTGTTGTATACACCACTCCAGAATGTCGCTGTCATTGCACACTGTCGGGCCCAGCGACGGCTCCCCTCACACACATACTATCATTTTTCTGCACGGCCGCGATAGCGAGGCAAAGGAGTTCGCTTCTGAATTCTTCGAATCTGAGGCCTCGGGTCCCGATGCCGATCGCACCCTGACAGCCCTTTTTCCGACAACCAGATGGGTGTTTCCGCAAGCAAAGGCTCTCCGCTCCGAACGATTCGATAGAGACATGTCGCAATGGTTCGATATGTGGTCACTCGAGGATTTGCAAGAAGGCAGCGAGCTACAAGTCCAGGGTCTTCGGTCGAGCGTCGGTCGCGTCATCAAGACGATCAACGAAGAAGAACGGCTCATTCCAAGGGACAGAATATTCCTTGGTGGGATAAGCCAAGGCTTTGCAACGTATGTTCTCGTGCGTGCATTTCAGCCTTCCTCAAGCGTACTGACGCTCGTGGCCCCAGGGCACTCGCGGTGCTCTTTGCCGATGGCAGAGGAGGGTTTGCCGGTATCTGCGGATTTTGCAGCTGGCTCCCGCTTGCGGACGAAGTCACGACCATAATCCGCGAACATGATCCCCTCGAGCGGCTTACCAGCCTGAAGCGTCTGTATCTCGGCGACACAAAGAGCGAGCAAGGACCACCGGCGCTGGTACATCAACTCCTCTCAACACCCATCCTTCTCCAACACAGCCGAGACGACGACACCATATCTGTTGAGAACGGGGAGCGCATGCGGCACATCTTGGGACAAATTGGGTTTGGGCGCGAATGGTACGACTATGATGACGGCGGCCACTGGGTTAATGAACCCCAGGGTGTAGATGACCTTGTCCGCTTTCTGAAAACGGCCATGGAAAAAACGTAATCTCTAACATTATCCCCCTACAATTGCGCCGCCCCGCGATAACGGGCTATGGTTTAACCTTGTTTTACGGTACTTGTGTTGCGCTACGACATGCCAAAACGATCTCGTTGAATCGGGGCTTCTGAGGGTTCCATCCCCGGCTGGCGATACAAAGACGTGTTGTTGAACTGATGACGTCCACTTGGAAGGAAGAAGGGGGCCCAAACAGCCGGATTTGTGCACCCTGAACCAAATCCAGCTGTCGTTGAGCTTGTGATGGTGGTGTCCATTCTCGGCCCGCATCTCGTGGCTGAGGAGCTACTCAGTATGTCTTGTTTGCCGGGACTGACAAGGACGGCCGAGTGATGCTGGAATCGTACGATGGTGATGTCGGTCAGTCCCCTATAGGGAGGGCTCCCTAGGATCTGGCTTTGCCAGCCGCTAATATGACTCCATAAAGTCCAGCGGGTTGTGGGGATGACGAGAAGACAACCTTAGCCAGCGGTGTGGTTGCAAGTGCCGTCACGAGAAAAAGGGTCCAGGTGTGATGCGATGTCGTCAAGGCCCACGAGAATTCGGCAACGACAGGGGAAGCCCTTGTGGTGGGGGGGGGGGTTTCGCCGTTGCGTCATCGTGCATCGAGCGGGCTGCTTCGGAGGGGTCCCCGTCGCTTTTGCCAAGACTGACAGACCCCTCCGTCCCCTGCACCCGTTCTCGGCCCACGGGTGACCCGTCCAGCCTGTCTCTCTGAATCACGAGCCGAATGCGACGCAAGAGGGGCGGGGGTGAGAGAATCCTCTACATTTGTCTAGTTCCGTCGAGAGTAGCTATCGTGGCTTGTTGGCTGAAGCCATGCTTCCGGGACGTCAGATAGAAGGAATTTCCTGGAGGATCTGGCAAGCCAGTCTCATGGCTTGTCGGACGTGTTCTATCCGGTTGACAATGCATTGGCGTACCTACTCGGTACACACAGTATGTATCTTGTCTAACCGATGAAGAGATGTCGGCGGGAGGTTAGTTGCCTGGGCGCATTTTCTCGCATTGATAGCATCGTGACTAAGGCTTCCTCCGTCACTTTTTGCGGCAGCGACTTCGGCGGAGGACCCGGTGGCACCGCAAAAAGGCGGGGATGGAACTGGAAACGTGTTACCCAATGTCTCCTTCCCCGGACAATACAACTTGTTGAACGTTAAGCTTGGTCTTGCAACTTCAAAAATTGGTAGCGCTGTACCTACGCGTGTACTCTTGCAATTACTAGTCCACCTCTAG